GGATGTGGGGTGGAGGGGATCAGTGGGGTTAAAAGGGGGACATCTGTTAAAATTTATTTATAAAAATAAATTAATTAATTTTAAAAAAATTTTTTTAAAAAAGAGCAATCAATAAAGGAGACATCTGTAATATTTTCAACAATAAAGATAAAATTATTTAAAAAGCAATCAATAACAACACAGAACTAAAATTCTGTACAATATCAACATTATCCAGCCAGAAGGTAGGGAAGTTAAAATCTAGAGACAAGAGACAAAAGGGATGTACAAGAACATTATGAGAGCACACTAGAATGCTTGTCTGGTTAGATAAAGATACAAATGTGGATAACCTTAAGAAATCAGTAAAAATAATAAATATGAGTATGGTTCATGAGTTAATGGCATCTATCATAGGAACAAAAATAGAATGTGTAACTTGCAAAACCAGCAGAACAAAATTTGATCTAGCCCATGGAAAGAAGAATAAAAAGAAATAAAATATAGTCTCAATTTTAAAATATAAAATAACTATAATTTCAAATTTAAAAGAAATTTTTAATTTAAAATTTAAATATATATAAAATAAAGAAGCAAAACTTTCCTAATTAGAACAAGAATTACCTTATGTGTAAACAGGTTAAATAAGCTTGTTAAAAGATACTATCAGATCAGGTTAAAAAACAAATGCAAAATATAGTTATGTGCTATTTGCAAGATATACTCAAAAAGTTAAGTTGAAAATAAAATGATGGGAAAACACACCAGGCAGGTATGAACCTAAAGAAAGCCAGAGTAGCAATCTTAATATCTGACAATATAATGTAATATATAGAGAGCTAGAGAGACAGAGAGACAGAGATAGAGACAGAGAGACACACAGCATGAGCACTAGATAAAAGTGTATGTGTGTCAGTATACATATATAAGGAAAAAAATAAAATATTTATTAAGATACTTATAAAGTTGTACAATGAGAGCTATTACTATATTCAGTTAAATCAAATGCAAGATGCTATACACTTTTTAGAATAATGTGAATTTTAGAAAAGTCAAGAGAAAATATATGACCAATGGACTTTAAAGGAGTTGTGTGTGTTTTTTAAGAGATTGAGAAAAAATAGCCATATAGGCTTAAAAAACCGTGTAATTTTTCTCAAAAGGATTAATTTTACAACACGATGACCAAATTAGCCTAAACATATATATTTTTCTTCCTGACACATTGTTAATCACTGTACGCATAAGTTATACAATCTAGATTTCAACCAACAAGAGCACACAGGATATATCGAGAACTTACAAATAAAAATGAAAGGACTAATACATAGGATTAGTTTGTGTAACAATAGATGTTCATACTTCTTGCTTTGTAAACTTTCTGCAGATTCGCATGATTTCACTCCCTCAGTACACTGCGCATTCCCGAGTCAATGGGGACTGTAATTATTTATAACCATTCTGTAGAGCCCAAGAGAAGGTACCGCAAAACTATCAAAAGCTCTCTTCTCCAATGTCACCCAGAAGTGGGCAAGTCAATTTCCCAGTACTGCCCAAGAGTCTTAAATTAAAATACAGTATGAAAACGAGGGAAAACTCCAGTGGCGTTTCTCATGTAAGACAGCAAAGACATTTAACACATGAGCCTTGTTCCAACATGAGGACTGGAGCGACGATCCTTTTTCATTTGGAAGCTTTACTGGTTATTGACTTCTACTTGAAGAGGAACTAATGACATTTCCTTTAGATATATGAAGTAATGTGATAGTTCCTTTTTTCTCTTTAACATGTATTTTTGTACTGAAAAATAGCTAAACTCACATTTTCCATGGTGATATCATTTGAGGTGTTCATCAGGTGCACGCTTTTGTCAACAGCTACAATCCCCACTATCGAGTTGGGCTGCGTCACAGAGATCCTAAGAGAGACTTTCTCAGATGGTTCGGCACTAGCTTTACTCCAAAATAGGTTTACCTAAGAAAGGGAGAAAACAGGATTGATTGATTTCACTGGTTAAAGCATTATTTCCATGTCTTACCAATAACAGATCAATGACTCACAATCTAGCAAAAAGTCTACATTTGCCTTGGCTCAGGGATCATTCTAAAACCATACATAAGCCTTCTCTAGGAAAAGGAATTTAAAAAAACACTTTACTCCCACACTGTGTGCAAGTAATGGAACTTCTCACAGCGGCATAAATCTGATTACCCTCACTTCTCTAACCTTTCCTCTTCCCTTTCTCCATCCCTCACAACTCAGCTCCCAGCCGGTGCTGAAGAGATAACAGCAGTATTACATACATAATAACTCAATAAAAAGAGGCTGAAGTGTAGTTCTAGAAATGAATATAAATTTCTAACTAGTTTGGTTTAATGATACTTTTCTAAAGAAACATTACATTTCTCAGACTTCACAAATATAGTTGCTTTTTTGACATCATTGCCTTAAATCTTACCTTATTTTTAAAATCAAGCTGAACAGGAATTTTTAGAACATCATTTACAATTTCCCCATCATCTTCAATATAAAACACAATTATACAGGCTTTTGGAGCCCAAGAATTTTCTGGTGTTAAAGAGAAGGCTGTTGAGTTTTGCTTGCCTACAGCCACCAACTGTCCCCTGGATACTACCTAAAAAAAAGAGTAGTTGAGTTTCATTTTATGTTAAAGCTAGTGAGAATTTCAACTGCAGCTACATTTATCATAATTTTACTTAAACCAACTTCAAAGTGGTTTTGAATGCCAGAAAGCCTCCCTAACCAACACAGAGAGTATAGACTGGAAAACAGAACAGGATAAGACAAAGCAACACCGACTAAGGTGACAGTAGCAGCTTCACAGTCCAGATTCCGTTTTCTGACATTATTTACAATAGCCAAGATCTGCAAGCAACCTACATGTCCATCGGTAGACAAATAGATAAAGAGGACGCAGTAGATATATATGATGGAATATCAGACAGCCATAAAAAGAATGATATCTTGCCACCTGGGACAGCATGTATGGATCTAGAGGGCATTATGCTAAGTGAAACAAGTCAGAGACAAATGCCACATGGTTTCACATATACGTGGAATCTAAAGAGCAAAACAAATGAACAAACAACAAAACAGAAACAAACTCATAGATACAGAGAACAAACAGATGGTTGCCATATGGGAGGGGGGGTGGAGGGATGGGCAAAAAGATGAAGGAGATTAAGAAGTACAAACTGACAGTTATAAAAAGTCACGGGGATATACAGTACAGCACAGAAAATATAGTCAATAATATTGTAATAACTATGTATGGTGTCAGATGGGAACTAGACTTATCATGGTGATCACTTCATAAGGTATATAAATGTCCAATCACTATGTTGTTCACCTGAAACTAATATAATATTGTACGCCAACTATGATTTAAAATAAATAATTTTTTTTTTTAATTTAAAAAAATCTATTTTTGAGTGACAGGAATTCAGAGCACCACTGGGAGACCTGGATTAGCAAAACTACAAGGCTGTGGGTAGCAATTTTATTTTATTTTTTGTTTTTCTTATGTGTTATAATTTTCTACAATGAAGATATGTGGCATAGCTAATAAAAATTTAAATTTTAAAAGTTAAATTTTAAACATAATGCCACACTTAGTTATCCATCTTAAACTGGAAATGCAAATATAGGCAAAGAAAGAAGACAAGATATTGTGATTACAGTATAAAAAGGACAGGTTAAAACGGTGTGAGGCTGAATTTTAAAAATTAGTAAGTTTAGTCTAGACATAAGATAGACACCCAATTTAAGATGATCCCACAATAGATCATAAATTTATATTCTATAACAGATTACCATGTAGCTGAACTCCTTCAATTGCTTGTTGCCTCTAACAACCAACTCAAAAGGTGATCCCACCTAGAAAAAAAATCTTAATAAATATATAAATATTCATAGCATAAGAGTATAATTATATTGTAAATACAAAGTTATTGTAAGCATTACCTTTATATTTTCATCTCTTGTTTTTAGCTGGATGTATGTTTTACTAGGAGACTTAAATACATCATGAACCGCCATGCTACCCACACTATTAAGAAAATAGGCCTGTAATGAAAGAAAAGGCAGCAATAAATTTTCATCTTTAGTAACACCTTGAGAAATGCCTCCTGCTGAACAATCACTAAAAAGCAAATGCATTTTCCTTATTTTTCATGCAGGAACATTATATTCCCCAAATACTGATCTTCATCGTTTCATAGCCTATACTATAAACAAAGTGACGGCTGTAAAACGCAGAAGAGGGTCTTCATCATCATGATCTAAGAGGGAAAAAAGCATAGTCCTAACTTATTGCAGAAACAAAGTTATATTATCAGGAAACACTGAGAGAGGAAAGAATGATCTGAAAAAGGATTCCTTTCCTTCTCTACAGAACCCATTTATAAGCAAGAAATCATATTAGCCACCAACAGTCAGAGTAAAACTCGAAGAGACCACAACTGTGGCCAGGCCAAGTCACCAAAAGAAAGGTAACAGGAATAGTTGGGGAGTCGACGAGCCACTCCTGGGAAAGAGCTCAACAACGGAGTGTAATTATAAAGTACATATATTCCTCTTTCATTTCAGCTCCTGCCAAAATACAATTTCAGGTGATTGAGAATCAACCTAGACTGGGAGTTTGGGGATCTTCTCCATCACATCTTCAGATTGCTATATTTTACTGTGCTTTTCAAAATGAACGTACAAGGAAGCATTCAGTCTAACCCTCAGCCACTGTCATTAAATTATTTTAAACACTTTCCTCCATTTTTAAAAATAGAAACATGTCCACTTCCTGTGCACTTTGACCTCTGACAGATTGAGTGCCTACCATAAGATTACAATTTTCGTGATGTTATTGCAGTAACATAACGATGGAAAACAGATGATACCTTTAATTGCAGGTGAGTGGAATTGTCTAGGATTGGAAATTCAATCTGAAAGATTCCATTTGGGGGGACGGTATAGTTTATGATCTGGACAGTTTCCATGTCCCGATTTATACTGTTCCATCTGCTCCCGTACTCTGTAGAGTTTGTCTGTGTCACCATCACAACTATGGTATTCATTCCTTCCTCAAGGGTGAGTGGCTTGCCATCAGAACATGTTACCTTCACCTAATGGTCAAAACATAATATTTTAAAAATAGGTAACAAGAGAAACAAAGGATTTAAGTTCTGTTGAATCTAGTTTCCATCTATGCTATTCCTATAAAACCTAACTCTCAAAATTATTAGTGGCACCCTAACTTCCTGATTTAGTGGTCTCTCTCTCTCGGAGGAATCCAACACCACTGACCACTCCCTTCTTGATATTATGGCTTCTCTTGACTTCGGTGGCTCCACAACAACCTCCTTCACTTCACACTCTTCTTATTCCATCCTCTCAGTGCCTTTCTTGGTTCCTTTTCCCTTCCCCTAAATGTGGGGATTTGTCAAGGCCAAATAATCAATTATCTGAGCCCCAACGCCAACTCTTCTTCCCTGAACTCTCACTGCTTTGCTCTACTCACTTGGAAGTTATCACTTGCATCCTTGTATTTTTGGGGTTTTGATTTTTGGTTTTATTTACTTACCTTTACAAATTGTCTAAATTATTGATTACTGAAATCAGAAACTACCTAAAATTTCTCTTGAGTCATTCAACAAGAAGTGATGCTTCCTTTCTTTAAACGAGGGGTCAACAAACTATGACAGGTAGGGAGGCCAAATCCAGTCTCTCTGTAAATAAAGTGTTATTGGAACATAGCCACCCTCACTTGGTTACAAAGTGGCTATGATTGCTTTCATGCTACAATGGCAGAGTCCAGGTGTTGAGAGAGAAACCATATGTCCCACAGTGCTGAAAATATCTACTATCTAGTCCTCTGCAGAAAAAAGGTTGCCAAGCCCTATTAGAAATCCCTGTAGAAATTTATCCATGACACTGATCTTAGCCTACCTTGTATTTTAGTTGTGTGTATATTTTCTTATTACTATCACAAAAACTGCAAATCCAGGGGAGGAGCTGCATCCTTCTCAGCTCTCCAGCCCAATTTATCACCAGGCCTTGCACTTTTGTCAAAATCCACTCAATTAACAAGTGCTAATTCAAAATTCTCTCAAAAAAACATGAGGAGATTTGTCAAAAATTTTTAATGCTACCCCTTTACTAGAACTAAAATTAGTCATTATAAAAATCAAATTAAAATTGAATAATTTTGACCAGCATCTAATTCCTTCGATTACTTTATAAAAGCTTCAGTGTAGCAATCCAAATCTAACTTAAATTGCTTATTAAATAAATTTTGAGGAAAATATTTTTATTGGAAACCACCTCTTTAGAAAAATTAGACAAAGGTAATTTGGAAACAATTCTATATGCCCCATATATCTAAATAAGAGAAGTATTCTGTCTACTTTTTGCTTAATTTTTTTGAAAAGTACTGAAAAAGTACCATTTTGCATTTTGTTTCATTAAATTGACCTTAATACTTTTAGATCATTCATAATATGCCAACTTACAGTGGCTGTGAAGTTGAGAGATGGCTTCAAGACAGTAGCATAATCAAAAAAGTCAATGATGTAATCGTGCTGCTTGAAAAATACATTGGAGTTTGCATTTCTTGAGATACCTGTTTTGGAAATTGCATCATTTAGAAAGCAAAAGTTATAGTTCACCAACAGCTTCTGTCCACCAGATTTCTCCATCTGAGTTAATTCCCCAAGGGGCTAAGATATCAGGGCACAGAAGCCTCATTCCCACATCGGCTTCTACAGCTACTGTGTCCTCTGTGGATCCCTTCTAAGCGCGTTACTGCCATCGCTGTTAATGACGGAGCACCAACAGATTAAGGCACTGGCAGAAGAGGCTTTTGCTTTTTGGGGAACTGGTGCAAGCTGTTGAAATGGCAACAGAAAGATCCAAGTAAGTAACCTTTACTTTATTATTAAGAGAGAAAACTGTCTGGGAGAGGGTGTGATTTCGGAAGACATTAAGTGATAAAAAAGAGGGGGA